AATACGCTCGCCTATACATGCGTAACTCACTATATATATCGGTTATTGCGAAGAGTGTTGCTAAGGTCTCGGTAGTCTAAAGGCTCAGGACGCTCACACGGAATGTAAGAGATCCGGGTTCGACTCCCGGCCGAGGCAATATTTTTCGCAATAAGTTTATTACAGTTTTTTAAGATTTGGGAGAATTTGGGGGGATTATTTGTTTCAGATTGATTGTGTGAATCCGATAAATTCATCGGCTCTCAATTTATTTCTGAAATATTAATTCAATTTAATTGAATGGATATTAGATAGTAGTTCAACATCTTAACACTCGACCGAAGAGGCGCTTTGTATTTAAAGTCTTAATATTTATATAGACGGTCTTGTTTCCAATCATTTCATTACTTTAACATGAAAAAAAGCGCTCGAATTGTGACTGGAGATGAAAAGTGGATCCATTATGACAATCCAAAGCGCAGAAAGTCATGGGTTAAGCCCGGCGAACCATCAACATCAGTTGATGAAAAAATGGTTCGATTCGTGGATTTCATCTAAAGACGAACAGTTCTTCCGACGCGGTATTCATTCACTGCCCGAAAGATGGTCAAAAGTAGTAGAAAGTGATGGGAAGTACTTTAATTAATGAAAAACGAAATATTATAAATAACGTTCTTTCATTAAAAAAACGCTACGAATTAATTCCAACACCTAATAAAATTCGGTAAATGGCTTTATTGTTTTTCGAAGTATTCGCCTTTAAGATCGATACATTTTTTTGCATACACTCGAACTAATTTTCGAAGCATTTTTTTCCACTCTAAGGCTGTAACCTCAGAAATCAGTGTACGAAATGTTTCAACAGCTGCTTCAGGCGATTCAAATCGCTCACCACGCATCTTATTTTTAATGTTTGGGAACAAAAAGAAGTCATTAGGTGATAAATCAGGTGAAAACGGACAATGGGTCATCAATTCGACATTCTTACTGGATAAAAAATGAACGGTTTGACGTGCTGTGTGTTGTCTGCTGGCGTTGTCATGATGAAGGATGATGCGACGATTTCGGTTTGTTCTACGCAATTCATTTATGACTTTTGGCAAACAAAGGTTGTTGTAAATACCAATCAGTATTTACAGTCCTTCGATCCTCTAAAGCCACGGTTGTCACATGTCCGGTATAATCGAAGAAATCATTTGCTTGGCAGCTAAGGATGCCTGAATCTCGCGATATGTTATATGCCGGTCTCGCTCAATCGTTTCACGCACAGCATCAACATTAGTGGCAACAACAGACATGAATGGACGACCTTCACGGAATTCATCACTAAGAAAGATACGTCCATGCTAGAATTCGGTAAACCAATTATAAACAGTCTTATTGGATGGTGCTTCATCCCCAAAAGCCAAATGAAGTCGATCGATGCATTGTTTCGGAGTTAGATTACATTTGTAATCGTAAAAAATTATTGCTCGAAAATTTTCACGCGAAATTTCCTTTTTCTTACAAAATAACTTCTTTTAAAATACTGTGCAAACAAAACTAGTTGGCTTGGGTACAAACTGTCAATTGAATTATATATTAAAAGTGTCTAATTTTACGGATATGATAGTAGCAAAACGTTGGCGCCACTGAAAGTACTAGATTACAGAAACTTTTCCAGCAGCCTACGTATCCTTCAGGAATCGTGATTATTTTATCGTCGGTATCGAAACAGAATTTATTATTCGCGGAAGTAACATTCGGTATTGCGTTGTACGTTTTAAAATTCGTAAGACCCAATTCGTATTCATCATTACTTAAATCCAACGCAGGGAAGTAACTCGCCGTGAGAATACTGATTATTCCAGTCAACGTAAGAGTCAACATGATGTAATCGAAGGTAAACGCTCAACTGAAATGACTCTCACACGACATATTATTAGATATATTTTTTCCTCCAATCTATTTCTCGAAGAAATCGTAGACACAATTGACCACAAATACTCTCGATCGAATGTTTGATAAGAGCGATGATTATACGTTACGTTGCTTCCGAAATAGTGTTCGAGTTCCCTTGACGGTCTGAGATTGCCAAAACCATCGAAGTAAAAAGCGTTATTTCCTTTTTTCGCATAAGCAACCCAGTGTGCCCGCATTTTCCGAATTATCGAGATTTACGATACCGCTTTCATTACAATGCGGTTTCGTCGGTAACGCGTCACGCATAAACACACCTCTGAAGAATGGTAAACGATACGCCGCACGGCTCAACTGTTCGTTCGTTGTGATACCGGAGAGCGGTATTTTAAGAGTCTCTAACGTTTCCTTCCACGATGTTTTTTTTTACTTCTTGCCTTTCTTTTCCTCACGCTACCATATATTTGTAGGGCGCTAGATACAGTCCGCGATCTTCCGTCTGACGAGTGGCTTTGCGATCGGTTACAGCTCTCGCTACGCTCGCCGCTTCACCAATTAAAAATCCGAACGCACCTAACATTGGTAAAATCGGTAGAAAACCTCCACGTTTCGTTACCGGAAGTAGTCTCTTCCTTTTGGTTTTTTTTTTTCTTTTCATACCCATCCCTAATTTCGTTTTTGCTTTCATAGTTACCCATACAGCGGTTGCGGCAGCTTTCTCACTAAATGTCGAATCACTCGCTGTTATACGTTCGCGTGCTCTTTCGGCGAGAACTCGACAATGTGACGATCGGCGAGATCGTTGCTTCGCGAATAGGCGATATCATGTTCGCGACACGCAGCGTCTAATCGATTTATACCTCGATCACCGCGCTAGTCTTTTCGCGAGACGAGTACCAGGTCCACAAAATTGATAACCAGGTATATGTATTTACTTCAAACGGAAGCTCGTTTATTGTCTTGTCAAGTAAACCTGCACCATATGCAGGAATCATTCTCCCTCCACGCTATTTTATTCCATACGACAGCGACATATTAAGTTAAGTAAAAAGTCATCGCGTTTTTTTAAAAGACATCTATCAGTAAAAATCGCAATTACTTTCTTACCAACAATATAAATATATCTTGATAGAATAAAGTTTCAGCTTTAAAAATCTCTGTTTTAAATTATACGATACGACAATTTTTAATGGAGTTATGAGCAATTAAAGTCAAAATAATTCTTTTATTTAATCCGCGATAACTCAGTAATCAAAAGTCGTAGAAATATTTAAAAAAAACGATTTTGTAGGGAAAGTATCAAGCTTTCACGATAGATAATCGAAAATTTTCTCAAATTCGTTTTGGACACGTTACAAATCCACAAAGTGAGAAGAAAATTTTTCGTCTTTTTCAGCTCGTAGTTTTTGGTATGTAAAAATTATCAAACTCATATAAACTTAAAAAATGTGATAAGCTTTTAAAAGTAGAGATTTCAAGCTTTAAAACCCTTTTTTTAAATTTAAATTTCATTCATTATTGACGAAGATATTGTATATATAACTTTGAGCTAAAAAATACGCGATGACTTTTTACTCAACCTAATATAATATGTCGCAATTTTTATAAGGTGACGGACCGTCTATGTGTGTTCGTTGCCACGAACGATTGTAATGCTCTATACACGGACGACAGCGTTGCACTTCAGGATCCGTTTTTAAATGTTCGGGTAATCGATCCCACAGTAGCTCCACGTAAATGCAAATTTTTTGGTTCTATTTAAACAAAATGGTACCAACTTAAAACACATTTATAACGATCACGTGAACTGATATATCGTATGAGAATTTTTGCACGTTGTGCCATTTATGTTGGCAACACAAATACGGTTTTGTGGTAATAGACAAAAATAGCGCATTACGCAATGGTAGATACAGACGAGGATTCAACGATTTTGCTATAGTATAAAAAAATCATCCGTAGTGTTTTGTGAAAAAAAGTGAACAGTATTTCTTTGACGTTAAGATGGTCAGAACAAAAAATATCTCTGAACGGAAGAAAACAGCGAAACTGATCGAAGACACGCGCGTCGATTCATAAGAAACACAGAGCATTGAAGACTGGCATAATGGAGAATGAGATCGTTCTGGAGAAACAATTAAAACCTATTATCGAACCGTTGAAACAAATTGCTGGAAACATTGAACGTGGAGGTAAACCATTTGAAACTAAGTTTATGAAGAGTAAACAAAAGAATAAACGTGAGTACAGCGATGATGAGGATGATGATGATGATGATGACAATGACGACGACGATGATAATGATGCAATTCCAACACAAATTACTCCCCAACGTTTTCCATGGAACAAACAAATAAAAAAGAAACGATCAAACGTCATGCCTGATTCGTCCATAATTAATTCCACACCAGAGACTTCCGGTCGAGGTGAGTTACAGAGAAGACATATTTTGCGCACTTCGTGAGGAAAATTGAAGATTCCGTAGCTGTTAAGGAATTGCCCTGCGGGGAGTTTTTGTTATAGGGACGAGAGTCGGTAAATCGAGAGCTAGGCAAAAAAGTAGCTCGCTTCATCAGGAAACGGGCTAATGGTGGTTAAAGTAGACGGAACAAGGGGAACATAACCTACAACTGGCATAGGTCTTCAACCGAGAGCATCGTGGTCCAGGTAGCCTGAAAGCCTGTATTGGGTGCATAAGATAAGGAGTGGTCATTAGGGGACAGGAGTGCAGTGGGTGAGCCTTGCATAAGTCGGAAGGGAAAAAGTAATTAGGCCCGGCGCACGTGGCAGAAAAACCGTGGTGCGCAAGTGCGAAGAAAAGGGAAGTGACGGAAGGAAAGCAGAACGTCACGAAGCGCGAGCGCGTCTCGGGAGGGGGGAATGAGCGAGAGTTTGGAGAAAGAGAGAGAAGGAACCGGCCTAGCAACGGAAGAGTCTAGAAGTAGCCGAGCGGAAAGGTGAGTACAGTCAGGGGAGGAGTGGGGAACAAGATCGAAGGAAGGCAACGGCGGTGAACGTCAGAGGCGAAATACGAGTGGAGAGAAGGGAGCGGGGAAGAGAGGAAGGCCCACGAAAGCGGAGCTGCTAGGAAGGGAAAGGAGGGATAGTAGTGTAGTGAGCATTCCAAGCTCGTGGTTCTCGAGAAGGGGCAGAGCGCGTGAGTCGGAAGAAAGTGAAGACGAACAGCAAGCCGCGAAACGAAAGAAGGAAGGAAAGGCAGGAAAATCGCCAGAACAGCAGGGAGATTCAGAGGAGAAGAAAATGGCGAATTTAGAGGAGATAGAAAAAATGATGGAGAGACAACTGCAGCGGCATAAGGATGATATGATGAAGATGATAAGAAGAGAATTAAAAGAAGAGATGAAGCAAATAAAATCAGAATTTGAGAAATTTAAGGAGGAGGAAAGGGAAAAGATGGAGAAGTTGAAAGAAGAAAATGCAGATTTGAAGAAAAGAGTGGAAGAAATAGAAAAAAGAAGAGATGATCAAGAAAGAAGAGATAGAAGACTAAATGTAGTTATGCGGGGTGTAGAGGTAGAGGGGGGAAATATGAAAGATGCTGCTGTAGGGGTTTTGAAAAAATTAGGGGGGTTAGATAAAGAAATTAAAATAAGAGAAGTTTACAAGATAGGGAATAGAATGAATGATAGAATGAATGATAGAACGAATGAGAGTGTGCTGCTTGTGAAACTTAATAGTTTGGATGATAAAAAGGAGATCATGATTAGGAGAAATAAATTGACAGGTACGAAAATATATGTAGACGATGATCTAACGAAGGATGAAAGAGAAAGACAGAAGGAGATTAGATTTTGGGCGAAGAGAGAGAAAGAGAGAGGTAGGCGAGTAAAAGTGGGCTTTGGGAAAGCGTGGATGAATGGTAAAGAATATGTGTGGAGTGAAGAGCGCAAGTGTATGAATGAAAAGATTTTTTAAGCAAGCGTGCTCACAATTGGGTTAAAAAGAGAAAGGGGGGGAAACAGAAGGGAAAAGCAACGGAAGAGGGAGAGAAACGAAGTATAAAAGGGGTATTCTGGAACATCGCAGGATTAAAGAGAAAAGACGAAGATTTTTGGGATTTTCTGAAAGATTTCGATGTGATTGGTTTGAGTGAGACATGGGTGGAAGAAGCTGGGTGGGGGAAGATAAAAGAAAAAATGCCAGATGGGTGGAGATGGAAATGTCAGCCAGCGAGGAGGGAAAAGAAAAGAGGGAGAGCGATGGGAGGGATAATAACGGGGATAAGGAAGGAAATAGAGGAAAGAAGTAGAAGTGAAGAGGAAGTAGAGGGGATACAGCAGAGAGAGGTTGTTGTAGATGAGGAGAGGTGGAGAATTGTTACAGTATATAACAAAGAGGGAAGTAAGGAAGAATTAGATAGATTAAAAGAGATGATAGGAGAGAGGGAAGAAGAAAATATGATAATAGTAGGAGACTTTAACGCAAGAATTGGTAAGGAAGGGGGTTTTTGTGACCAAAATGGCGAAGAAAAAGGAGAAAATGGCAAAGAACGGAGATCGAAAGATGGAGTGGTAAACAAACAAGGGTGTGAGCTGGTGAAGGTAGTGGGAGAAAGAGGGTGGTTGATACTGAATGGGTGGAAAAAAGGGGATGAAGAAGGAGAGTGGACGTATGAAAAAGCGGGAGGGAAATCAGTGATAGATTATGGAATTGTAAATCTGGAGGCAGAAGAGAAAATTAGATGTTTTGAAATAGGATGCAGGGCAGAATCAGATCACCAGCCAATATTGATAGAGTTAGGAAAGGAATATACAAGGCAGGAGAAGGAAAAAGAGAGCGAGGCAGAGATGATACAGGATTGGTCAGAGGAGGGCATAGAAATATTTAGGAAAAATATAGAGGAAGTAGAGTGGGAAAAAGGAGAGGGGGGAGGACGATGGGAAGAAATGGAAGAAGTAATGAAAAGAGCACCTAAAATGAAGAGGAAGGGTGGAAGGAAAGAGGTAGGATGGGTACCATGGTGGGATAGAGAGTGTAGGGAGAAAAAGAGAGAGGTTAATAGGGCGGGGAGAAGATATAGGAGAAGGAAGTCGGGATATGAGGAATTTGTGAAAAAAAGAAGGGAATATAGGGATACATGTGAAAAGAAAGAAGTAGAGCATAAGAAGCTTGAGGAGAGAGAGATAGAAAAGATTATAACAGAAGCACAGGCATGGGAATTTATAAATAGGAGAAGGAAGAAAAAGGAGGGAATAAGTAAGGAAATTAAAAGAACGGAGTGGGTAGAGTATTTTAAGACGGCATTAGAGGGAGTTGACGAGAGAACGGCAGAAATAGGAGAAAGACGGAATGAATTTAGAAAAGACGAAGGGATAAGTCGGGAGGAAATAAGACTAGAAATAAAAAGATTAAAGAAGGGTAAGGCGGCAGGGATAGATGGGATAAGAAATGAAGCATGGATGATGGGGGGAGATAAAGTAAGTGTAAAGTTAGAGGAAATTTATAGAAAGATTTGGGAGGGAGAGGGATTCCCAGAAAAATGGAGAATAGGAGTGGTAGTTCCGATATGGAAAAAAGGGGATAAAAATGTGGTAGGGAATTACAGGGGTGTCACGCTTACAAGCACTGCGTATAAGATATATGCGAACATTTTAAATAAAAAGTTGGTGAAAGAGCTAGACGAGAAAGGAGGATGGGGCAGAACGCAGGCAGGATTTAGAAAAGGAAGAGGAACAATAGAAAACATAAAGATCTTAAAACACCTAGTAGGAAGAAGACTAAAGGAGAAGAAGAAGGTGTGGGCATTTTTTATGGACCTAAAAGGAGCGTTCGATAAAATAGATAGGAAGGTATTATGGGAAATGATGAGGAGAAGGGGAATCAGTGATGTACTGATAGAAAGAGTAAAAGAAATATATGAGGAGACAAGATGCGTGGTAAGGATAGGGGGGGAAGTCTCAAAGGAATTTTGGGTAAAAAAGGGGGTAAGACAGGGGTGTCCTTTGAGTCCAACTCTGTTTAATGTATATATCGCGGATTTAGAGGAGGAATTAAGAAAAGGAATAGGAGGAGTAAGAGTGGGAGGCGATAAGGTGTGGTCGCTAGAATATGCTGACGACATTGTGGTGGTGGCGGAAGAAGAAGTAGGCTTAAGGGCGATGATAAGAGGGATACAAAGGTATTTAAAAGAGAAGAAACTAGAGCTGAGCCCGGAAAAGTCGAAAGTTATGGTGTTTAGAAAGAAAGGGGGAAGGGAGAAAGAAAGGTACTGGTGGTGGGGAAAGGAAAGATTAGAGGAGGTAAAGGAATATAAATATCTAGGATATTGGGTGTCAAGATACGGAGGGGAAACGGAACACGTGAGAGATAGAATTAGAAAAGCGAGGGTGGCCATGGGATGGGTGTGGAGTTACGGGGAGAGAAAGTTCAAGGGGGACGTAAGGTGGAGACTGAAGCTTTTTGACAGTATTGTGAAAGGAATACTTTTGTATGGAGTGGAGATATGGGGGTATAAGGAATGGAAAGAAATAGAGGCTTTACAAGAAAAATATTTGAGATGGATACTGGGGGTGAAGAGTTGTACTCCGGGATATATAGTTAGGGAGGAATTGAAAAGGAACAAAATGAGGGTGGAAACGGGGTGGAGAGCGGGAAGGTTTGAAGAGAGAATACAGAAAGGAGAAGGAGGAGAGATAGGGAGAGAAAGTATAGTAGAACGGAGGAAAGAGGAAAGAGAAAAACGAAAGGAAGAATGGACAAGGGAAAGCCTAGAGAGAAGGGAGTACTTATGGAGAGGGGGGGTAAGCGAGGAAGCGCTTAATGAATGGGGAGAGGGAAAATGGGAGCGATTACGAGAAAGAGATATAGAAGTAGATATGCAGCAGAGAGGAGAAGAGGTGAGAACTTCAAGGTCGTGTAAAAATTACAGAAATGTAATAGGAATACCGGAATACATCAGAAAGAGTAAAAAGAGAGAGGGAAAGAAGATGCAGATGATTGCGAGATGGAGATGTGGTAACGAAGAAAGAGGAAATATGTTTTGGATGAATGAAGAAGAGAGAAAATGTAGAGTGTGCGAAAAAGAGAGAGAGGATATAAAACACATGAAAGAAGAATGTGTGTTACTTAAAAAGGAAAGATGGAATAGAATAGAGGTGTTGCACGAAGATGGAAGAGAGTATGAATGGATGCAAATGATAGAGGCAGCGCGGAAGAAGAGAGAGAGAGAGAGAGAGAGAGAGAGAGAGAGAGAGAGAGTGAGTGAGACCGACATGAGTGAGTGAGTGACATAAAATGTAAATGAGTATGAAAGTGAGTATGAATGTGTAGATTAGTTAGCAAGTAAGCAAGAAATGTATATGTATATTCAAGATGTATTGTATTTAATGGAAGTCCGTGTAATCACGTTGGTGAGCACGTAATAAACTACTACTACTACTTAATTCCACACCAATAGAATCACAACAACAACAACAACAAGTAACTCCTTTTGATTTGCAGGACAAAGTTTTTAAAATCGGTGATGATCCATCGCTTGAAATGTCTGTCAGATAGGTGTTGAGCACACCTCAAGGTCGTCAGAGATTGCAAAGTCAGTTAGGACCGTTAGGAAAAGTATATGTGAATACTCTTTTAACTGATAATGCAAGAAACGAAATCGATCTTGTCTACGGTATTTATTTTGATGAAAACGGTACGATGTTAGGTAATAAAAAATTTGACGTAGATACGGGCGACACTATAATCATAGACGGAGTGAGGTACAAAAGTACACCAGGTCTATACGAGCTGATCTTCAAGAAGATTCCAAACGACACTATCTACACCGAGAATGATAAACAAACGTACAAACATATATTATTGATGACGAATGCTCACAGACAATAACGCCAGAATGCCTATTAAAAGTAACAAGGGACACAAATACAAAAACATTATCGCCCCACTCTTAGTTACTCATAAAACCACGGGTATTGGTTTAGGTATAAAGACAAATATACCATCCGCTGCGAAATTGACTGACAATGAAATAGATTACGTTGATTCCAACGAATTGGTGGATCGTCTTCAATTGCTCGATCGAGCGGGTAATAGCGCTCACGACAGCGAAATATTGTCGATAATCGAAGAACTTCGCGAAGCTGGATTAATTATAAATTGAATCGTTGTGACAAAAATTGCGACAGTAGTCAGGTTCGCGCGAACTCGATATGATGTCTGTGAATAAATTTGGTATGCCTATGAGGAGAGATGATAGCGATGAAATCGAAAAGTCGCGATCATCGATAAAATCTTTACGATAGAATTATGTACAGTGGGCTTTGTCTGAATCCGGATCATTACGATGCGAAGAAACGAAAAATAGAACACGTAGCTGCACCGGAATTCGACACCGATGTGGTAAACACAACCTACGTCGAACGCACTCTTCGAGATTCGCGAAACGAGATCGAGGAATCATTTAGAACGATAAGGAGAGATACAAGAAGTGCATAGCGATGTGGAGAAGGTGCGAAGAAACGTGGAAAAGAGCGTGACGAGGATGTCTGACGAGATTCAGCATCTGAATCGAGGTGTCTAGGTATTTAAACACATCTACAGTTATCGCGTCTACGGAAAGGTTTAAAAATATGCGCAAAGCTCATTTCCTGTCAAACAGAAAGAGATGAGTGTCGAGAAACGGAAACTCGTGAAAGAACTCCACGCACCCGCGCGAAGAAATTTTCCACGTCGTCGCATCGTGGTGCACGATCGCGATGATTTATGGCAAGCCGACGTAGTCGAAATGCGTCCTTACGCGCGATTCAACAAAGGTTACAATTACATTTTAACAGTTATCGATGTTTTGAGTAAATACGCATGGACTCTATCACTCAAGAGCAAGAACGGAAGCGACATAGCCGCAGCGTTATCTAAAATACATATTTCGCGAGGACGAACGATACCCACGAAACCTGCAGACGGATCAAGGAAAGAAATTTTACAACACTATCTCACGCCCATCCCAACGCGTTATAAGTCGAACATGATCGCATATGTTCTCCATCGTTTTTCCAAATACCGCAATATTCATCAATTTGTAAAGATTCTTCTTAAATTCGTTATTCGCGAGCATTCTAAATCGTATTAAGTTCGATATATCCGCGACGCCATGGGGATTGTGCGTAATATTCGATGAATTTTTTTCACGTATAGTCCATGTTGAATGTATTGTTGTAAATTGCGATAGTACACGACATAGCGCTCCTTATTGTAAAGAGTGGCCAGCAGTTTATCATTCCGTTTTCCGGGAGATCGTTCGCGAGTGGGGCAGAATGGAAGATCAGCATGAGCCTCATGAACGCTTTGCGGATACACAAGGTCGACTTGTAGAATATAACCGATAACGGAGTCTGATGACACAGAAATTACGTCAAAGCGCTTGATGTCGTCGACCCATTGAAATTCTCCATATGGTAAGGATTCGGACATTGCCCAACATACAAATTATTCACATCGAAGTACATGAGGTACGAAGGTTCCGAAGGATCGTACGAAGATGCATTATACTTGTTATTATTAGCTTGCGCGTATCTATGTGAACATTGACTTAAACCACCGCGTATACCACGTTCCACAAACATCACCATATCGATGTCAGTGAGTAATTCGAATCGAATACCAGTGTATTTCAACATAGCGTCCCACGTATATCTCGGT